ACCGAACAAGTAAATCCAGTGACCGTCGAAGTCAAACTAGTTGAAAGGGAAATAGGGAAGTCGGTAAATGAAGCAAAAGTGAAGAGACAAGATCCGACGTCTGACGTAGAAGAATCAACCGACGAAGACCAGGAAGTTGTCAAACCCGATTTAGAAGAGACGGGAAGTAGGGATAGCGCGGTTGCTGAAAAATCAACACTCCTTGAAGAACAACTAGCGTGTGAATCATTAAAAAGGTGTTGGGAATACGCTAAAACCGGAAAACACAACTTCTTCATAGAAGAGGGTCTGTTGTATCATCGAGAAGAAATATTAGGACATAAGGTAAAACAATTGTGTCTCCCAATTTCGAGAATCCAAACCATATTACATCTGGGACACGATGCCCCATTTGCAGGGCATATGGCGTATAAGACAACGCGTTATCGTATCGGATTAAATTTCTGGTTTCCAGATATGACAGAAAAGATACGACAGTACTGTAAAACGTGTGTGATTTGTCAACTCCGAGCACCAATTAAAAGAGATCAACAAGTTCCCATCACACCGATACCTCGAAACGACGAATTACCATTCAGTCATTTGGTTATAGATTGCATTGGACCGATGATCACGGAAATAGAACCTAAACCGGAATATAATTACGCTTTGGTAGCAGTGGACTTATTCACGCGTTGGCCCATGGCCTACCCTCTCAGATCGTTGAGTGCGAAGGCCACTTGTGAAGTTTTATTACAGATATTCATGACACACTCCATTCCAAAAATAATCAGCTCTGACTGCGGAACAAACTTCACGAGTCAACTCACAAAGGAGATGTTGAAACGGTTGGGGTGCTGTCCTAGATTTAACACACCCGAACATCCAGAAGCTTCGGGCGTTGTTGAAAGATGTAACAGAACCCTGAAGACGATGATATACAAGGTTGCCCAAGATCATCCACGTAGTTGGCACAAAGTATTACCATTTGTACTTTGGTGCTTGAGAGAACGACCTTCTGCCACGACCCATATAAGTCCATTTACATTATTGTATGGAACGTTGCCGAGAGGCCCGTTAACAGTGATGAAAGAAAACTGGACAGGTGAACGAGAATTTCCTTTAAATGTTGGCCGAGGATCAGAATATCTCCAAAATCTTAAAAACAATCTGGAATTGGCGAAGAATTATGCAGCATACTATTCAGAGAAGGAACAGCAGCGTTACACACGTAATTACAATCTTCGCACGAAAGACAAACATTTCAAAGTTGGCGACTCGGTCATTATGCTCGCACCCTTGAAGATGAAAAGCAAATGGTATAACCAATGGCAAGGACCGGCGTCTATTGCGAAGGTGAAGTCACCTTATTCGTACCTAGTTGAGTTGGAAGGAAAGAAATATCATGTGCATGCCAATAAACTTCATGGATTCCATAAAAGAATTGAAGAGGCCATGATCAATACCTGTGTTATTCTTCGAGAGAATGATTCAGATTTTGGCGTATTAGATACGTATGAAAAAGAACAGAAGGAAAACAAACAAAAAATCAACGAGGAGGAGATACACATTAGTGATCTAGAAAAACAAGAAAGTCGAGAATTGATTGACTTGATTAAGGAATTCTCAGCCGTATTCTCCACGAAAATAGGACTTTTTAAAGGAACGCAACATCGTATTGAAGTTAATGAAGGATTTAAACCCAAACGTTTAAAAGCCTACAAAATTCCCGAGTTACTCAGGGGGGAAGTAAAGCGTCAGCTCAAAGAGATGTTGGAACAAGATATCATTGTACCTTCGAACAGTGAGATGGTTAGCCCAGTGGTATGCGTGTTAAAAAATAACGGAGGCGTACGTTTGGCAGTGGATTATCGTTACGTTAACAAACATTCAACAAACGATGGATTTCCAATTCCAGATGTAAAGGACGTACTACAAAAGGTGGGCAACGCCAACTTCATCAGTTGTTTTGATGCACGATCTGGATATTGGCAAATACCCTTACAAGAAAGTTCAAGATGGTTAACTGCGTTCGTTTGCGATGAAGGTTTGTTTGAATTTAAAAGGATGCCTTTTGGATTGAAGTCGGCGGGAGTAACCTTCACACGCGCCATGAAGGAACTTACGAAAGATATATATCAGTTCACAGAAACCTACATTGATGACATTGCCGTGTTTTCTAATAGTTGGTCAGAACATGTCCAACACCTTCGAAGTTTTTTACAGACAATTTCCCATGCCGGAATAACGTTGAATTTAGACAAATGTCGGTTTGCGCAGAAGAGAATTAAGTTCTTAGGTCATCTAGTGGGATCCGGAAAAATTGAGGTAGACCCATCAAAGATACAGGTACTCGATCAGCTACAACCACCAAAAACTACAAAAGAGGTACGAAAATTAATTGGATTTTTTAATTATTTTCAAACATTCCTACCCAACCTGGCTGCAACGATGCACCCGATCACCGAGTTGACTAAGAAATCACCATCGAATCGAATAATATGGTCCACCAACCATCAGAATGCATTAAATCTGATGATTCAGAAGTTGAAGGATGCCACCGTATTGAACACCATAGATTACCAACGAGAGTTTGGATTAATAACAGATGCAAGCGAATGTGCGGTAGGTTGTTGTTTAATTCAATGGGGCAACGACAAGAAAGAAAAACCTATTGCGTTTGCTAGTCGCAAACTGACCGATGTTCAAAAACGATGGTCCACGATCGAAAAGGAAGCATACGCGATAGTTTGGGCTCTTCAGAAATTCCGCTCGTGGATTTGCCTATCCAAAATCAAAATTTTTACAGACCATAATCCATTAACATACCTGACGGAATCGACACCAAAAAGTTCAAAGCTTACACGTTGGATATTGGCCCTTCAAGAGTATAATATACAATTCTGTTATCGTCCGGGTTCACGTAACGTTGCCGATTTTCTCTCCAGGATATAAAAGTCAAGAAATATTATTGTTTTTTTTTTTTTTTTTTTGGACGTTAATTTTTGTTTTGTTTAGTTTTTATTTTTGTAAGTGTGATGAATGTTACATTCATCCTCCTAGGCGTTGGAGGTATGTAATGGAAATTGTTCTATTACATGATCACGTGGAATAAGTACTAGCACAAAGCACGTGTGCTTACCTAGGAGAGAGCGCCGTGTGGTCACGTGGGTCGATTACTAGACCAAAGTACAAGCGCTTACCTAGGAGAGAGCACCGTGCATGCCTATAAATAGCCTACGCAAATAAGTTAGCCCTCTTTCCTTTATGTGGCTCTTGGGTCGGAGTTGACGTTAGTAAAATTGAGTATTGTATTGTTGCATTTTCATTAATTTTGTTTATTCGAATAATTATTTAGTTAGGTTTTAATAAAGGAGGATTAATAATATATCTGTCGTTGTGTTTAGTTAATATCGAACCCGTTACATTCATTCATTCATTCATTCATTCATTCATTCATTCATTCATTCATTTATTCGTTCGTTCGTTAGTTTGTTAGTTCGTTTATTCATTCATTCATTCATTTATTCATTCATTCATTCATTCATTCATTCATTCATTCACTCTTCCATTCATCAAGCAACCTACTTACCTGACCAGCCATATTGAAGCAATTCAAGTTCATTTATTCTTATTATCGCCATCATTAGTCATCTTCTTTTGGCGGCAAACCGATTCAAATCGTCGTCCATTTTTTATTTTCATGTCTATGCATCAACTTTTTTTTGTTATCATTTTTTCCGTCACTTATTTCTATGTTTGCCTTTCTAAATTGTGCATTATGTTAATTTTGTCATGAATTATAAATTTACTTAAAAATTGTGTTAGAATGAACAATTTGTAAACGGTAGCCTGCAACACAAGAATTTTGTTTTCTTTTAGCTTTGGTCTCCTAATCATTACTTAATTACTATTATTAATTTGGATTGATTGAATAAAATTTGATTTGATTTGATTCTCGTTTAGCTCGAGGACATTCACCAGCAAACTTGAAAAGCGAGCCAACGTGAAGAGCATAACATGGACAATGACATCTCATGCGAGAAAATCAAATGAAAAATAACAACATTCACAAATAAAATCACACACAGACACAGGTACGCGCACACAGACACGCACACACAAAATGTATGTAAAAACGTATGTAACTTTTTGTTTACATGTAAATTCAAATGTGAAGGCATGCTGGCGAATACAAAACAAATTAACCAGGAGATATCATTTAAGTGTGTGTATATATCATATGCTGGAGGATCACATAGACATTCATGCACAAATATTTTTTAACGCCAACATGTTTTTTTTTCAAAAAAAGAACCGTAAGAAGTTGCATCAATTAAGACATAAAATGTGTATTTGCTTGGAACGCAGTCGAAGATATTATCAATAAATGAATGTTACCGTATGCATGTGCAGAAAACATAAACACACTTTAAAGTTTACCAAACATAAACAAAAACACAAACACATACAAACACACTTTTGCGCACATTCTCACACACGGGCATACACATAGACTGAAGCACACATAAAAGAGGACACACACACACACAGACAAACACACAAGCAGGCGTCATATTGTCATGCAACAGCAACAGCAGCAACGAAAGAGTGTTGACGTCGTGATTTTATTCTCTAATCCTTTTTCTTGAAATTTGAAAAATGAAGCCGTCAGCGTAAAAATACAAATTGAATAAAAAATTTATCGCAATGGAATTGAGATGGAGTTGGAATTGAATCAAATACTTTTACGGTTGGCGTCCTAAATCTCGTGCTGCTGCTGTTGCTACTGCTGCTGCTGCTGCTGCTACTCGATCATGCGTTCCAATAGCTTTAACTATTTTCAACTTTCAACGTTAAAATCAAAAAATTATTCATTTATTATTTTTTTCCATTCTCTCCATCAATCAATGTCTCATCTCGCGAGAGAGAGAGAGAGAGAGAAAGTTCATTTCCTTGAACATGCCTGATGAGGACAGACACCAGCGTTCCTTTCATGCACCCTCCTCCACAAACACCAGATTATTTCGTCGACCATTGCTTCTACTCATTACATTGATAAGCTCTTACTTTCATCGTCAGTTCTATCATTTTTACTATCGTCAACGTCATCATCATCATCTTCGTCATCATCTTTGTCAACATCGTCCTCATCATCATCTTCATCATCATCATCTTCATCATCATCATCATTGCTATCAACACCGCATAACCACACACTGTGTTGGATGGACTGGTTGATACAGGCGCCACACATACACAGTGGAACTAAAATGAACTTTTTTTTAATGTATTCGCGCACATCTCGCATTTCTAACTTGGTTCTGTCTGGCCGTGAAGCGAAGAAATGACAAAAATGTATGTAGCGTAAATTGGAAATTGTCTCAAAAAATTCTGCGTAGCTCCCGCGAGGAAAGCATGGATGGAATGCATATGCATTCAACGTCTTATTGAGATTTACTGCTCCTAAATAAATAATCTTTAAAACTAACAAAGAATTGGAGCTAGTACTCGAAACACAAAATTAACAAATAATTACGTAAAAACAGTTGAACAAATAAATTGAACAAATAATTAGGAATATGCCATCCTTAATGTACTTCTAATGTTTACACAATTTTAGTTTTTGCGCGTTTTGTTTACTTAACCAGAATTTTTACATTTTTTCATTCGTTTCCCTCTGTGGGCTCCTATCGCTGAAGTATGCTTAATTTATTTTTCACTGGCCCACCATACACACCCCGCTCGCTAACAATCGGCTCTCTGAACAGGCGTGCAAATTCAAACACAGGTGTATATAATTACAATGTTCTGCACGCACGCGCACACACACGTGCATGCACGCTCACACGCATACTTGCATATACACACACGCAAATACACGCACGCATAATCGGGCCGATAAGATAATAAGGAGCATGATTCAAATGAAGCGAGAAGATGCCACACGAGCCTATTATATAATACCTCGCCACATGCAAATATGCGAAAATTATAACATTTATCTATGTTTTCATTTCTTTGTTTTGCGTTACCATAGAAACGCGCGGGAACGATAAATAAGCGACGGACCATTATCGGCGGACGGCTTGTTGTCGGTTTGTTGTTAGGCGGTAAAGGTTGCAGCTTTTGTTTTTGTAGCGCAATTTCGTTAACTTAATTGATTGCAGCTGCATCTTCCAGTCGACAGTGACGGATAGGTGGCGTCTGGAAGGGATGCTGATGAGGACGACGACGACGACGAAGATTTGGTGATGAGAGCCTCGATGACGGTACGTGACGATGACGATATGCAGGTGAGGATAATGATGAGAATGTTGATGTGACGAGTATAGAGTTGGAAGCATATTGAAGGATAATGTAAGTGACTATTTGAAGGTGTTTGTAAGCTGACAGATGACAATCTCGAGAATGGTTACGATGACGTTGATCAATGAAAATGATGATGGTGATAAATATGATGGTTATTTAGCATTTGAACCTGGGACCTGGAAGAATATTCAAATTCTTGCCAGGATTCTCTATGGTTACAATGTTGCTTACGTTTACAATCGCTACCATCATCACCAAAAATTACCATCATCACCAACAAAACATCACAATGTCGAAATGGTAGTGGTAGTAGCAGTTAGCAACATAAGCAATTGATTTGCACTGAATCACACACGCAAGGAAGTTAAAATTTTGAAAAATGCTTTGTTCAAAATCCGACGCTTCAAACATCATTCAGTACATTTGGCGTACTAAATTGCTCATTTTTTAGTATGTGTCTGTATGTATGTATGTATGTACGTATGTATGTATGTATATATGTATGTATGTATGTATGTTGTATGTATGTATGTATATATGTAGGTATGTATGTATGTATATATGTATGTATGTATGTATGTATGTATGTATGTTGTATGTATGTATGTATGTATGTATGTCTGTATGTTTGTATGTATGTCTATGTATGTGTGTAACAACAACGTGTGTGATGCGTTGGTTCAGGCGTATTGAAATATGCACCGTGCTTTTCTTTTTGATACCTCTGAAATGTTTAAAGAGAGAATTTTTTAATAGGAAATTTTTAAAAAACGTTCATGTATTTATATGTATGTGGTGTAGAGTTTGGAAAAAATTGATAAATCAATTAACTCAAGATCTAATGTATTTGTTATGCACTGTATTTGCACATACACGTGTATGCCTTTATTCAATGAAAGTTTCAAACAATTAAAACGAAATAAATAGCAATGGTAGTGTAAGGTGGTGGACTTGGAAAAAACTGATATTGACAACGACCAAAAATTATTTTCGGTGAATAATAATAATAATATTAATAATAATAAATCAATAATAGTATTGAAAATAATATTTAAAAATTAAAAATACTAAAATATAGCGGATAAGAAAGAAAAAATGAATTATTTTTGTGAAAAAAAGTTTGACGTGTTTCAAATTTTAATTCATGAATTACGACCAAAAAATTGAAATATTTAGATAATAGTAATAGATAATAATAAATAATTCAGATAATAGATAATATTTAAATAACCAATTTAATGATAAATATTTTCTGTAAATTTAAATAAAATACTAGTATAATTATGATACAGAAAGCAATAAATCTCAATTATCTTTCCATTATAGTCATAAATAAATGCTCAACGTAATGAACGTAATCAGTAATTAATTTGTAACCAGTAACTATTGAATTACCGTTTAATTAGTAATCATTTAGTAACTAATTAGTAATTTAATTAAGGTAGCAGGCAATGTATCAATTAACAATTACTCTCTCAATGTATCAATTAACAATCACTCTCTTTATACTTAGATTTATTTTAAATACTTAATTTACTTCTTGATCGATAGTACTAACACTAATAGTATTAAAAATATAGACTTATACTGAATATAACATGGAAAAAAAATAAGAATAATAATATTTATAACAATAATGATTATACAAAAACAATTTGTAAAATAATAATAATTGAATTTCAATTCAATAATAGGAATAATAATATTATTATTACTAATAATATTATTATTATTGCTACAAATTTGATCGTTATCATCACATCAGGACATTATCATTCGTCATCATCGCCGTTAATGCTATCATTACCATCACCGTCATCGTTACGGAGAATGTAAAATAATGGTACATAGTCATATAAATAGTCAAAATTATATTAAAAAATCAATAATATTAATAATAATAATAAGATAGCGTTTAAATGAAAACAGAATAATGCGACCGGCTTACGAGAAATAATATAAATAATGATTGCGATAAACAATGAGAAATATAAAAAACACCAACAATAACAATAATAAGATGAATTATAAGTATAATAATAATAATAATAATAAATTAACTTAAGGAGGCAACACAGCATATCTTAAACGCCTCGGTTTACGAGTCTTCTAGTTTTCACTGTTCCTTAATTCCTCTCAAACACTCTTGTGCTAAATCTGCCTTTGCTTTTTTCTGGTACTTTTCTCTATAACTCTCTTCTTTTTCCTTCTCTAAGATTCTTCCTTTTCTAACAACTTCGTAAAATTGAGAAACATTTATTATTCATCTTATTTTTCTTCCCATTATTATAACCCATCTCTTACAAAGTTCAAAACCCCTATTTTCGGCAAAACTCATTGAGAAGCGCTTTTGCTAGAGATAAATAGATTAATCTATTGATCGATTGATTCATCTTATTGATCGAATGATTGGTCGATCCTATCACGAGCTATATAATCTTAAGTAGGGATTTCGAAGTGATAGTTCATGCCTTGGGAGATTTTCAAATAGAAGTAACTGTAACATGTCAATGATTACGGATATAAAAAAAACTTGTTCTTTCGTAGCTCAACTCTGGTTAGTATTTACATGTTTTGGTCACAATCGGTTGAATTGTTAGCGTTCTAATCGTTTATAAAAAAAATTATTCATACAAACTCTCAACATCGACAAAAGCGTTTCAATTTGGTAGCATTCGCGTAAATTGTCTCATTTTTAGTATGTAATTTATGGTAATCCTGTCGGGAGAGTACCATATGGGAATCGAACCAGGGACTCGCATGTAATTTTAGATCGAACCGCAAATAGCATCATTTAATAAGCTTAAGATCGCCTCGATCTTAGTTAGTGACTGTATCATCAAGATTTCTTATTAAACTAAATGTGAATTACTCAACAATCAATAATATATTTTATTTATAAACAACATTGTTTATTGAAAACAAGCAAACGAATGAATAAATGAATGAACAAATCGATGAACAAATGAATGAATAAATTGAATGAATGAATAAATGAATGAAAGATGTATAATATAAGCGGATGATGTATTGTTGTAATGATGCAAGCTTTTTACATAAAGATTGATGGATCGAATGAAACTTTAAAAAAATGAAAGCAATTTTTTGACCTGCACTATTCACATGAGGTCATATATCAATCCTATATTAAAAGACACACATGTATATATATGAATGTATATGTATATATAAATATTGGATTAAGACTGTCAGTAATGCAATTATTGGTGGAAATCACAGCATGTTCCGCGTTTGGTTAGCTTCCTGTTTAATTTTCCGATCTTTCTAAGGGTAGGTAGATCGAAAATTAGTGCCAAGTTACTTGAGTTCCATCAAAAATTTTTATTTATTTTAAGCATGATAAAAATTTTGGTTTTAAACTCAAGAAACTTGACAATGATTTACGATCTACTCTTAGAAACTATAAACAGGAAGCTAACTAACGCGGAACATGGGATTTACCTCAATAATTGCATTTCTGACATTCTTCATCTTATATATATATATATATATATATATATATATATATATATATATATATATATATGTGTGTGTGTGTGTGTGTGTGTGTGTGCGTGCTTGTTGTGTGAGTGTATCATAACTTTACTCAATGATCAAACAAATGACTGAATGAAAAACAAAATAAAATAAAATAACGACAAATAAATGAAACTAATATTTATTTATCAAAAGAGATGAATAAATAAAAAAAATTTATTGAATTGATAATCTATCAGGAAAAAGAAATATAAAATTGAATAATATAGAAAACTTGTTAATTATTATAAGAATTAACATTTCCTACACCACTATAAAATGCTTACAAAAGCTGAAAAACTTATAAGGATTATGTATACAAATGCGAATAATTCAACTCCAAACCCGGCATTCAACTATGTTTTGTATATTCTATGATAGTTACATTTTAGGTCTTTCCAAAACACTTTAAAATATTCAAAAACCTCCTGGTAAATAGTTTGGCTATTATTAATAAGTAGACATTCAAAATCATTTTAGACCTTAATTTTTTTAAACCTTCAAAGTCATCCCATGTACGTACTGCCAGGCTTTTAGCTTAGACCATTCCCAGAGATCTTTTTAAATACCCAAACCAGGTAGGCACTCAAGCTTCAAAGAAATATAAATACTTGAAAAAATTCTAGACGATTCTAGAAAAATCACTAAAAGTATGAAAATCACTACCATATTTCTGACACAGATTCATGTAGGTACATCTCATTTCTTAACTGTCTGCTGAAATCAAAAACGAACTATTGAAAAAAAACTGAGAATGTCTAAGAATAAACCATTGATTGATATAGACATAGTGAGTAATTCTGTTTAACTAATAAACAACCAACCAACCACAACGGACATTAATATTACAGTGAATGGGTTTTACAATAATAAAAGATAATAATATGAAAGTTAACTTTACCAGATTATAGATACACAACTATAATAGATAGAACTATGTATGTATGCATGGATATATAAGACATGCATTCGATATAATACACAATAATAATGCTACAATTACGACATGCATAAACATCATTAATCAATTGTACTCTTAATTATAATTAATTGAGTAGTCAGTGAGTGGTGACAAAGTATTTTTTTTTACATATTTTTTATTTAAATTTATTTCTTATTAGCAAAACGAAATAAAATAAATAAAACACGGATGGCTGGATGATTAAACAGTAAACTGTAGCAATGTTAAATTAGAACATTAAAAATATTTAAAACTGAAAACCAATTGAAAATGTTAACTATTTTTTTTACAATTAGATTTAAAATAAAAATGATTTAAGAAAATCTTTTTTTTCGGCGCTAATATTACCTACCGCATAATTATAATTCTTTGGTAATTTGATAAAGAGACAATGATTGCCATAAAAAAAAGGTAAGAGCCAGCATTATTAATAATTAAAAACAATAATAATAATTATTATTATCATAATTTTAATATGATATTATTATTATTACTACAGATATTATTATAACGATGAAGATGGCGATGATAATAATTAGAAGCGTAAAGAATAATGATGATAATTTTTATAGGGACTGTTGGAATAGCAGGTTTTTCTGATCGTCACTCTGCTCCATCTGGTCTTGCTTCAGCTCTTGCAGGGTGTGCGAAAATTTCGACCAATCATCTGATCTCGGGGCTGCTAAGGACTGTTGTGATTGGTTGGGATGATTTTATGGTTGAATTTAATTTGGTAGACATTAATAAGAATCATGGTTACTTAGTAAATAAAAATACTGATGAGATGTTTGTTTACTGATGAAATATTTTGTATGGTGATGACAGTAGCACAATCATCACATCATTATCACTATAGTATCACCAACAACATTGTGAAATTTATTACCAGATTATCATTTTTATCATCACATCTATCTTTACATAAACCGACTGGCTAACTAGCTAGCTATTAGTCAGCCAGCTGACCAACCAGCTGACCAACGAATCAGCCAGCCATGCAGACAGCTATACAACAAAGCAAGCAAGCAGCCTACCTCTGAAACGTCATAGATATGAACGCCGCCCTCATCATCGCCGATGCCGATGTGCAGACCGGACTGATGCCAGCTGCATTTGTTAGCTGCTCTGCCGTTCTCCAACATTGTCGAAGTTGTTGGAGCCTGTTGGTATAATGTGATGATGATTTGACGTAATAATGATGTAACATGATGGTGATGGTGGTGTGACGATACGGACCTCTGTATCGTTATTGAGATTCCACAGATCCAACCTTCCAGAACCATCCACAGTAGAAAATATCGAAGGATGGATCGGTGACCATTTTGCATCATAAATGTATTCACTGTTGTCTTCAAATGAGTGGACGGGAGCTTTTTCCTGATTGGTCAATTAAAGTGACTTGTGATTGGTTGAATTAATGTGACTTGCGATTAGTCGGTAAACGAGGTTAGTTTATATAATTAGTTTAATATTCGCATAACTCATCCAACCTACCCTGATATTCCAGAGTTTGACGGTCCAGTCGAACGATGAAGAAATGAAATAGGATGAGAAATCAATTGGCCCGGAGTTGTTGTGGTAGTCGACGCCGGTTACTGGGCCCTGGTGGCCCTCAAAGATGTCCAATATACCTGTCTTGCTGAAGGCAGAAAATGTTTCATCGAATTATATCGGGTTAGTGTTAATTTTGTCCTTTGTGAAAATAGACTCCCAAAATTAATTTTATAAAAAAAGAGCGGTAAAGTAGAGTGATAGAAATTAGAAATACAGCTTTATTCTTTTTTAGTTGATCCAGAGTTAGGAAAATTAGTTATAAACACAAAAGGTTCAGACGCACGCAAAATTAATAAATTCAAAACAGATCTAATTTATATCATTCAATAAGTCCAATGACCAAATTAATAAACAGTATATCACTCTCTTATTTAATTAATTAATTAATTGATTGATTAATTAATCAGTCAGCCAGTAACTAACTTGCCATGCCTGCAAGCACTGTAGACGACACACTCCTCACATCCGAGGACGAAATTATTTGAATCGCAGCATGCAAACGAGAAGCACATGGCAGCCGCCTGCTTCGACTGCTTGTGCTGTAACTCCATGGTCTCCTGAGTTATGCGGTTGATTGATTGGTAGGTTGGTTGAATGATCGGTTGGTTAATTTAACTAATCAAAATCAGTTCATTGATTGAGTAGTTTAAAAAATGATTGACTACTTTTAGGAATGAATGACTGATGATTGATTGTTTGACCGATCGATTGATTCTGTAATTGAGTAAAAGTAAAAATAGGAGGTGAAAATAAAGTGAATCCAATGTTAGTTGAATCAAAACAGTTAACAAATTAAACAAAGATACGATAATATCATCATTGTATCATTACACGCCGTGCAATACCACATCATAGCACTATCACCTCCCAATCATCATCACCAGCATACTTGTGGTTGAGAGAGCATGTCGAGATTCCAGAAACACATCTTGCCGTCAGTGGAGATGGAGGCGAGGTTGTGTGCGTTCTGCGAGCCGACGACATCCAAGCAATATACCGGGTGCTGTTGTGCGTGTATGTGTTTGTAAGTGTGTGAGTGCGTGCGTGCGTGTGTGTGTGTGGTACGAACAACTGACCGTGTGGACAGCAGCAGAGATGGGCGTGCGTTGGACTGGGGTTCGTTTGTTGCTTCGATTGTCCCACAGGACAATGTGGCCCGAGTACGTGCCCCCAATTACCAAGTTCGGGTGGAATTTGGCGAAACACGCCGATGTCACTGGAGACTGTCGATGATGGTGATGATGATGATGATGGCGATGATGATGATGATGGCGATGATGATGATGATGGCGATGATGATGAATGTGATGGCGATGATGATGGTGATGACGACGGTGGGTACGATGATAATCATTTTGTTTACGATGATGATATTTACAATAACTGAGGTGGTTAAGATGACGATGGACAACGATGATAATGAGAAAGATGATATTGGGAGCTGAAGTATATGTATACATACAAAGCCAGCATTTTTTATCAATGAATCACTAACAACACGAAAAAAGTAGCAGCCTCTCAACATCCAGATTAACAAAGTCATAACATCAACCCTTAAAATGTCACGACACAACCCAACGAGACACAAGCAAGAGCCAACCTGATAATGAAACACGTACTCAGGGGAGGTCTTCTTATATTTGATGTTCCACACCAATACGACGCCATCTGGCTCCTGAGGTTGACTTTCATTGTTGTTGTACGAGGCCAACAACAACTCCGGGTACTGTTTTTAGTTGTTTTGATTGCGTCATTTACGTACAATCAACAATTTAGACGACTACATTGTTTAGAGTCAATTGTTTAGAGTCAGCTAGAGTCTAGCTATGAAGTGTGCTATGGAAAAAAATCCATCCTTTTTGTATTAACATATTAACGTAAAATGTTGGTAAAAATTAGATAGAACATGTTAACATATAATATATACATACAATGAATGTGATAAGATCATGAGACTCATATATACAGATATGCGCAGTTTGTAAATACATACACATATAGTTAATTTCTTCTTCGTTTTCAATATAGCATCAACCAGTTTGTCAATGAATGAATGGATGAATCAATCAATCATATGATAAGTTTATCAACTCAATCAATCAGCCACACAGTTATTTATGTATGCGTGAATGTAGAGACATTGATCTACCTGATCTGACCAATCAAGAGAGGTGACGGTTCTATTTTTAGACCACCTTTCATTTGAGAAGTTTCTATTCAGCTTTACTTGCTCGCCTTCGGTCAATCGCCTGTTAAATTCATCACTTTCATCATCATCACAATAATCACCATTAGTAATCACCTTCATTTTCCTTATATAAATCACTGTCGTCTCGTTAGAATTTAACATCGGCACAAAGGCTCATAAAATTAAATGAATATTACAACATCATCATATCTTTCTACAGGTGATGAGATGATAAAACCACCGCAAATAAAATTAATCTCATCATTATCTTCACCAGTAATCACGCTGGCCCAAAAAAGACAATTTTGTTTTACTTGGTCTTAAGAAATCTGCTGTTTAATAGTATTATTCTTTAGTATATTTTACTTAAAAAAATGTTCGTCCATTCATTCATGTAACAATCATCACCATTTCATATCGTTATCACCACCGATGGATGATGATGATGACGACGACGATGATGATATAACGACGATGATGTCAAACGACCAACCAACCTATCATCATCTCCATCCTCAATTCCTCGATAGTCAGTGAACAGATCACACTCGACATTTTCCTCCAATGCTCTCTCCATTATGTTTGTGGCTCTGCTAAAGAAGCTCTGAAAGTCTTCAGACATGACAATCGTCTTGTACTGCTCCTCTGTCAGCTCTCTTATCACTGGATGACGATGGGAAAGAAGATAATTAGAGAGATGATAATTATGATTGAGATGATGATAAGAATGTGAAAGACTGAAAAATAATTAAAAAAACCAATATTTATTTAACACAATAAGAAATGAAAAACTAACAGCACATCTATCCCAATACTAAATAAGCCACAATAAACACGATCTCCAAAATCATCACTCACTCACTCACCTGGCTTTTCTTCCAAATGTTTTTCCACCTCTTCTCCTCCTGCTTGCTGCGCTTTTGAACCATGTGCCTGTTGCTTCGCGATGGTCGATGGCTGGGAAGCAGCGTCGACGCCACCTGGCTCAGATGACTCGCCGTCCTCATCTGAATCAAGGTAGGTTAATGCTATGTGTTGGTCATTTTTAAATGCTGCTCTGCAATATCACGTCGTCAGATTTTTGTTTCAGGATGATCATGAAGTGACGATGGGATGATGATAAAATGATAATAATATGACGCGATAACTTGTGATGTGATAAGAATTTGATGTGACGATCATGTGACGTGATAAATGAATAGATGTTAAAAGAATAAGACAATGCGATAATAGCATGATGTGACAAGAGATAAGCCGATGAAAATGATTTCGAATGCCAGAAATTAGAAGAGTAATGATGAAAAATGATAAAGAATTCAATTATAGAAACGTAAATGTCATTAAAACGATGCAGTGATTATAAAGATGACAACACAATGATGGCGATGATATGATAACAAAATGCTTCTCCAGGGATATAGGCGATGATGTCGTAGTTAAAATAATAACCACTAGAATAGCTTCAACAAATATCATGGCGCTGTATTATTGATTGAAGCTATGACTCACTAAGAGCTGATAATGATGAGAGCCAATATAATAATAATAATAATAATAATAAAAATGATAATAAAAATAGTAATAATAATGATAATAATAACGAGAATGATAACAATGAAGTAATGGTTGAATTTTAAATGATAGAAGTTATCATCACCATCATCATTAATGGCAAATGCAAAACCTCAACATAGCAATAATAATCATAATAATAATAAATCAAAATAATAATAATAAAATTAGAAAAATAATGATGTGAATTTCAAAAAATATCAAACGATCTTTTGAAATTTTACACAGCTATTAATCATAATAATAAACAATTAAAAATAAAAATAACTGAAACAAAATGAAAACATACAAACTACAATAAAGAAAAACAAATTATATACACACACGTACATACATACAAACAAAAAAGCAAACAAACAAACAAGCAAACAAACAAACAAGCAAGCAAACAAACAAACAAAAACCCCAGAACTGAATAAACATTAAAACTACTTTTAAAATGTTCAAAGCTCCACTGAACATGAACTATTAGCCCATAACAACAAGATGAATAGATGCTTAAAACCTCAACATAGCAATGATCATAATAATAATAAATTAAAATAAAATAATAATTAAAAAAGTTTTATTTGATTCAAAAAAATTATTTACATATATAATTATAATTAATTAGTTCGAAGAAAAAAATAAAACAACAGATAAAAAAATGAATCAACTCTAAACAACATGCGTCAAACAACCTACAAACATTGCAGCAAAAACTCACACACATACGCACACAAACACACTCAGACACACACAATCACAAACATACATTATTAATCACAAACATCTATTCATGCATGTGAAACAAACAGATGCACATTTAAAAATGTAAACAAAAAATAATATAGATCGTAAAAATTAAAAATAATTATATAAAAAAATAATCTCCATTCTAACAAAAATGACATCAACTGATGAATGTATGAATGTGTAGCACATTATTTTTTCATGGAATATGCAAAGTGTGATATTCCATGTATAAATATTTTCAGAGACAGAAAGAGAACTTGTTTATTTCGTCAAAAATTTGCAGATGACAGACATAACAAAACAGAAGATCTTTCCAAATGATTTGGCATTATACTAATTAGTTACTGGACTGCGATACAAAAAATTTACAAATCATCAGGTGATTGTAAGAATAGCCATCCTCGTTTGTTGCTTAAACCAGCAATTCAATTATGTCTTCCTGTGCCCCATCCTAATATAAACACAACACTTTGTTATTATCATTAAATAATATTAGAAAGTTCAACACATAAAGGGCTGACATATTTTGAATTAAGTTTCAATTCTTACTTCAGAGCAACTAGAATCCAGGCAAGAAGATTGAAACGATGGGCCTACATACAACTAATAATAACACAAATAGGGACAAAAAGAAAAAAATTTAAAATAGACAAAACAAAATAACAAAAAACGTTGAAAAATATGCCTAACATTCAAAATTTGCACTCTACCAGTCCCCGAATTTAAAAATAATCTACTAACGCAAACCTCTCATCAAAAAGAGCTTCACCAATCCAGATCCCAGGAACTAAAATCACGCGAACTAAGATCCCAATAAAAGAAAACCGGAATTAACTTAATTAACTGAAAGAAGATATCAACCTAAAACTAACAAACAAAAAAACAACCAGCTGGAAAATCCCAAATCTTACCTGCGGAAATCCCCAAATCGTCACCATCCCACTCAAGATGAGAGTTGATGAACTTAGGAGAACCATACGAGCTACTGTGCCGGGCTGGTGAAGCCAGCCATAAAGAGGGAGCATGTTGGAGAAGATGGGGGGGTGAAAGTATTTCTTTTAATGTTATGCCACATTAAAAATGCGGTCACAGTTCTGTTTTTATAACAGTGTAATGTGCATTAATGAACACGCATGTGACGACGTCACTAATCAAATACTCGTAAAAGTAGAACCATCTTCACTGAACTACTCAGAAGAAATTCAAATAATCAATCATGCGTCATAATGAACGATGTCTTTTATAATGATCTCTTAACGGCAGAACTCTCCAGTTCGTTTAATGTATCCAGAACAAATAAAAGTGTCAACTCAGGTTTTATAATTAACTTGTCATTTCAAATTTTGCCAATGTGTTATTACACTATTATTAGAGCTTTTGCAAAACTGAAACTTTGTGATATGTTAGCAAAAAATGGAAAACTCCCACAAACACAAAACTTTGAGTTGGTTTTCATTGCCGTGGAAAGTTAGTTATTCTGATAACAGCCAATATTTATTTAGTACACTAGCATTTTCTACAAGAACATAACTACCGGAATAACAACGGTGTTTCACTATTATGTCATTGATACAAAAGAATTCATAATATGGATGCTAAATATTTGAAGCTTGCGAAGGGCACTGCACACAAAAATATTCACACATTTGAAATTTCTCATGTAAATTTTGAGGGATGGTCTTAAATAAAAAATATTAAGAAATTAAACACTCACAAACTTAAGCACAAACCTACATTGTACATACATACATACAAACATACATACAAACATACAAACAAACAAACAAACAAAAACAAACAATTATCCATACAGCTTTTACAGAAAGTTTATACAAAATCTACACACGCAAACGCAAACAAAAGCAAACACGTATACAATGACATAGGCATGCACATAAATTTCAAGAAAAAACCATATCCCAAACTGACGCTCATTGCTAAAAACTAAAGCAAATTCAAGTTCATAGCTATACATATATACAGCTGACTCGCCAAACCTTAACCAATACTAGCCACTATCACAACAGCTGAAAACTTATAAAAATAAAAAATATCAAAAACAAGCAAGATAATGATAAAAATATTATCATTAGCATGGATAAGAATAACGACAATGGATATTTGAGTGTTAGGCACTAGAGAAAGAAAGATCTATGCATGTTCTAAACAAACAGCTTTCAAAGGCAGATTAATATGCCTGTCCAAAGCAAAACATAAAGACGGTCATTATAATTCACATCACAATCACCATTCATCTTAAACAACACCATATCATGACCCTCACTATCATATCGTCATCACAACAATTATCCAAACAAACATTACACATTCATCCCCGTATCATCGTCATCATCCTAGCCATCATCATCATCATCACCAGAATATATCACACAACCAGCAATGTAGTATCATCATCGGTTATCATACAACATCGTCATCATCATCCAACGTCATCACATCTGTATTTCTGTAATCATCATTCATGTTCAAATAATTGCTACATGTTCACAGCTACCTCTGTGCCCTCATTCATAGCAACCACTCAACCATCATATATGCAATGTTGCTTTTTCTTGGAAGGTCAAGATTTAAAAAAAATAATAATAATAAATTATTAATAATAAATAAATAATATAAAAAAAATAAAATAAATAAATATAACAAAACAATAAATAGCCATCTGCAGCTGCAACTAGCAACAATATTAACACCACTACTACAGAAGCTAACATTAGCATGAAAGAACACATACCAATGGCATAACATAACCAGGTAAGATCAATCACAGCCACAAAAAATAATAATAATAATAACAATAATAATAATAACAATAATGATAATTAACCGTTAATCATTCACCGTTTCATCATTATCACTATAGACAGGGCCAAGAAAAAACCGTTGTAGCCTCAGTAAGAATGATGATGATGAAGACGAAGGTGACGATGAAGACGAAGGTGACGATGAAGACGAATGATTAAGACGAAAACCATATCCTCATCATTGTACCACCCGCATTAATATTTTACCATTAAAAAAAGATTAGAAGTTACAATAATAATGTAGAGGTAGTAGATAACAACAACAATAATAATAATAACAATATAATAATAATAATAATAATATAATAAGAAAAAATAATAATAATTAGTAATTGGAGAAATCTAGAACTACAAACTACCGCTGGAAAACAAAAGATTACAAACAAACCAAAATGAAAAAATAACAAAAATAATAAATAACAATAATAATAATAAATAATAATAAATAATAATAATCTACTGAACGAAAATGATGAAAAATCATTGAAATGAATTATGATGAGAGCCACCATCATCACCATCATCAGCATCGTCATCATCATCATTTTGTTTCTGGATAGAGCAACAAACTATATCCGACTCACCGTAGTAATCAAGATGTCGAGCTTTAGTGGATTATTGCAATTTTTTTTAATTTAAAATTATGAAATGATAGAAAGAATTTTGGAAAATTGTGGAATAATAATGGTAATAATAATAATATTAATGTAAATAATAAGTGATAATAGCAATAATATAATATTATTAATAAAAATGCAAAAATAAAACACAATTACATCAGATAACAATGAAAATAATAATAACTATGAAGAATTACAAATTGATAACAATATAATGATGATGATAACAGAAATTCAGTCATTGATAATATATATAATATATAGAGAAAGAGAAAAAACCTATTAAGTGGAACAATAATAATGAAAAAAGTTTAAATTTTTTACTCAAATTTGACAAATTCAACGATTTCCATAAAAATATCAGTTATTTTTAACAGAAAGAAATGATCTACACTTTAAAAATTGTCATAATATATCCAATGCATGTTGAATCAAGATATATGATAATATATCCTAATATTCCTACATCGAGAATATGAAAAAACTAAATACGCCGATGACTAGGTAACTGACTGGGCTGATTCTGATGACGTAACAGTGTTGATGTAATATTTTGTTTAGAAAAATAAAAATATTTTTAAAAATAAAATATTTATAAATTTAATAAAAATAATTAAACTCTACCTACTTACTACTACTGCAAAAAATGAACTCAAAACATCGCACTGTGTTAAATGAATAAATAACTTCAATGTTCACCAACAACATCTAGTTATAGATAGATAGGCAGTGGAGATGTTGAATAACGAATGAATGAATGAACAAACACTACAGTTGATCAATAAACTTTTTTTTGTTTCAATTTGTTTCATACACTGCTTGCTCTGAATCATTTTGAATGGTGAAATATTTGTCAATCCCCTTATGTTTATGTGGTGAATGCTTGCAGAGAATAAAAAATAAAATCCCACCTGCGTGTTACAGTATTGTAATTGAGTAAAAAGTTTGTGTTTATAAGAAATTTCCCTTTTTTTATTTGTTTTATTTATTTATTTATTTTCAAAACTCACTAACAGAAATTAAACTGTCAAGCACTAAATTCTAAAAAAAAATTATAAAAAAATATTGAAAAACAAAAAAAACTGTGAAAATTGAATGGAAAATAATTTCCACAGGAACTTACACTCCTTATCAACTTGCTCCTTGCTGGTCTGGGTCTCCTTATTGTACTGCACCAAATCTTTTGGGGGTATGTTTGTCTGGGTGACCTTAGAGATCGTCAGCACTGAGCTCCTCTTCGTTCCACTGCAATCAAAGTCAAATATCAAAGCCAGTTATCAAAAGCAGTAATCCTACGTGTGTGTTAACATATTTCAAATGCTAACTAAATTTGCAACTTCAAAAACTCTTATTTGAGATGTAATTAAATTATTCATAGTTGTTACAACATTTGGTGATGTCCATGCATCCAAAGACATACATGTATCTATACTATACCGCATGCATTTCAAATAAATATATGAAGATGTTTTACTCAAACAAGTAAACAACAATGTAGTTTAGGTGGAAAAAATATGCACTTACTAATGCACATACACAAACAAGTACTTTTAGTATACAAACACTCAAAAAGATAGTACAATACACTTCGTTATACATTGCTATAGACAACATTCTTGATCAATAACATGGGACATTCCTTTTTTAACCAATATTATATATCCTACTTTACCATCCATACTCTAGTAAATGTTCAACATTTCAACAGTTATGAAATGAAAAATGCACTCTGGATGGAGCCCAACTGGAGCTTCTCACGATAAGGTGCTGCTGATTAGTTTGTGTTTGATTCAATGTCTCCAAGTTGGTTTGTGGTGGGTGAAATAATTTTAAGTTTCATATCCTACCTATTTATTAGTTTGGCCAAATGAATGTAAGCATAAACAAACACTACTTACATGTGCATCTAGATACAAGTACACAAAGACACCTTCATACATACATATATATATATATATATATATATATATATATATATATATATATATATATATATATATATATGTTGGTAATAGACCATAATTTTTACAATATTCTATAAATTCTACCGAATGCTTGGCGTTAATATGTTTGTAGTTCGTTTTTTCGATTTTTCTCACTAAAGTTTTTTGGTGAACGTTTAGTTTATTAAAATTCAAAATAAACTTATTTTTCGAATTCATGCTGCAAATAAGCCCATATTTCGATTCCGAATGAATCATCGTCAGTGCTCCTTGTTAGGGAAATATAGGGAAATATTGACTTTGTCAAGATTAACTTTGACGTTGTAAAAATTAACTTTGGTGTTGTAAAATTGAACTTTGATGCGAATTAGGTGTCAGGTTTCTTAATTGGCTGGTCATCTTTTTTGGTCTCCTTTTCTTCATCGATAGCATCATATTCTTCTTTGTCACTATTTACGATGCTAGGTTGTCATTTTTTGCTGTATATTTATTTTTGGTTTATTGATGTCGATTAGGACTGCTCCTGCAATTTTAAGATGCGTGTAGTTGCTGTTCTGGTATATTACTTTGGTGTTGCTGTCGAGGATTTCACGGCTAATTGTGATTGAGTGTGTTGAGTCCAAATGAGATTTGATAGCACCACTCGGTTTATGCATCGTAAGCCTTCTAGTCAGTGAGGTAGTAGTAATCCCGATATATGAGTCATGTTGACGTGCACAGCCGTCAAAGGGGAAATTAAATTCATATATTACGTGATTACGCTTTAACTCTATCTCTAGTTATCTCTAGGACTGCAGTTGTTTTTCAGTATTAGGTGAGACGTCTTTTTATTGTTGTAATAAATTCGGAGTTTAACTTTACTATTTGGGTTGGTTGGTGTGACATTTTTATTGATGATATGCTTAAGAATAGCTTCATCTACCTTGTATGCTGTTGACATGATTGCCCCTTTTGACGGTTTTTCGGTAGAATTTATAGAATATTGTAATATATATATATATATATATATCCAGGACGCCCTTCCTTACGCAACCACAGTTATAAGCGGTGGGCCTAGCCTTTGATGATCCAACATCGCTCACAAGGCAGTGAGGGTCAGTTTAATGTCATAACCAGGACATATATATATATGCATATATATATATATGTCTTTTTCTGTATATATATATATATACATACATATATATATATATATATGTATATATATATATTTATATATATATATGTATATATATGTATGTATATATATCTATATTTATATTTATACATTATTTTCATCAATAATTACGCTTAAACTGACAATCAACCAAACTGTAAATAAAGACATAAACAAACATGCAACTAGGTACATGAAAGAACATACTAAACACTTACAGAAGCAGAAAAATAAAACAACACACGCGCGTGTACACACAAACACACACACAAACACTCACACAAACATACATTACTATACATACACAGTAGTTCTGATTGCTAGGCTTGGTTGAATAAATAAATAAGTAAATATGGCTAACAGATTGAGTTGGTCTTGGTTAGTTATTGATCCCTCAGCTACTGCTAACTCATCAGCTGCTGTTGGTGTGCTTCTCTGCAGCAAATTCGTCGTCTCAGCTGTTTAATAATAATAATAATAATATTAATAATAATAATCATCATAATAATAATAAATTACCAAATTAATCATAATAGATAATTATGTCCATTCTGATTTTGAGTTTGAAATTATTTCAAATTATGATGTAAAAATTAAATCCAACCAGGGTTTCATAATTCAATTCATAATTTTTTAATTACGTAAAAATTATCAATATGAAACTACAAACCATAGTTAATGAGATATTATCAAACAGTGTATTAATCAGTGTATTACTATATGATTGTACATTTAAAATATCACCAAAATTACCTCTAAAAAATTTGAAATGACATTATATATAAACTATTATACAAATAGGGTACAGAAAGTATTTATTTATCTAGATAAACAGCCTTTCAAATCCAAAATATTCAATGAACCTAGTGGTATCCCAAGGTTTTTGAGGATTTCATCTGTTTCAGATCTTAAGTCTTTTGGACCAGGTGCCAGCTGGCCATTGCTATGACCCCCAACATCAACGTTCTGACCGATTAGACATGCAAGTTATTCATTTATATTTTAATTTATCTTTTATTATTCATATTTTAAATAATGTTACATTTATATTTTAAAAGCTAAATATTGTCATGTTGAAATCATTCACTCTTGATATTAATAATCAATTATAATTAGAATAATTAGATGTTATAATTAATAATAATAATAATAATAATAAAACAAATGTCTATAATTTTTATTTATTATAACTTACAAAGTATGTATATAGAATGAGCTAAAGTGCAATTACTAATACACAAATACATTATAGAAATGTGATAGTATATTTTGAAATTAGTATTAGATTCATTGGGGACCATCCATCTATATGATGTTTTAAAACACTTTTTTTTCCATACAATTAAAATAACTTCATAATTGATAAAAATATTTTTATGAATAATGCAACGTTACAACGCTGTTAGAATCAATAATAAATGAAATGATCATAATAAAATACCATATATGCCATTTAATAAAAAGATCTAACATTTGATAATCTGAGATCATGAATATAGCTTATGAGTGAATGAGTGAATTTTTAATAATGCCAGACAACTGCAACCAATATAAAACCTAAACAATTTAATTTTAATCAAATAGAAAAATAACAAATATTCTATATGCACACTATATACAAATGATTAGGAATTATATTTTTTGGGGGATTATTTAGCTTATAAATAAGTGTCTGGTTTTTGATCAGACTCGAGAAAATGAATGACAACCATCAATACCAGTTGCATTCAAAAGAAATTTAAAAACATTCCATATGCACCCTATAAAAAAGTTTCTGGTTCTTAATCAAAGCCAAAGAAATGAATGATAATAATCACACACAACTAATCTTTCAATCAATAAAAATATTTCAAAATATTTTATATATTTGTATTAATTTTTTTTTAAATTTTATTATGTACCCACCCAGTATAAAAAATATTCAGTAATTCATTTTCTGGGTTATGTACATTTTAATTTAATGAGTGTATCTTAATTAAAACATCACCACAATCATTTAATGAAAACTTGATAATTATCAACAAATCAATCAACCTAAAATTCATTTAATTAACCAATCAATCAATCATTCATTCATCCATTCAATAATTGAATTAATCAACTATTCACTCATTGAACCTCTTGCTTTGTCTTCCTTGCCAATCTCATCTCTTCAAGTTTTTTCTTTTTCCGTTCTAATTCTGCTTTCCTGTCCCCCATCTTTTGAAATATCAAGATCGTTTACAAAAATGAATAATTATTTATTTTAGTTTTAATTATTAAGGGTTAACAACGGTGAGCTGTGCAGTAAGAAACGTCGCAATCTTAATTACAACTGTTAATAAAAAAAGAAAATAAACTTTAATCGTGAAACTTTGTATGAAAGATACGAAGTTTGATGAAAATTGTAAGTTAAAACTTATGACTAATAATCGTGAAAATCAATTTTTTTTGTTTAATGGAGATTTACACCACTGCTTAATATAATAAACAGTGATGAACACGGTTAACGGGTTTCTAGCGCTATACTTACACGAATATAATGGTATTGATTTGTATTTTATTCCGTTAACTGAATGGTTTTGCATACAAAAAATTTGGTTTGTTATCGATTATACTTTAAAAATACAAGTTTCTTTGGCTGAAATAAATGAAAATTTACAAAATATATTTTGGTTTTGTACAAAAATCAATCTTATTATCAAAACTCTGTAATATAAAATATATTCAAGTTACCGGTAAAACAGTTTTTTATTTTTACAGCAAAATCGTACACTTCAGTACTTTCAGTATTTGCATTTGAGAAACAGCTGAAAGACCCTTATAGAAATAGTTCATTTGTTTCTACCAGTCTATATAATATTAATATTGAAAAGCAGTTCAAATTTACTTCAATCAATCAATTAGTTTATAAACGCTATTTCGCAATGTTAACAGCGCTCATCAATAAATTTTGCAAACAGATGGGTCTTGAGATCCGTTCTGAACTTCGTAAGGGGTGGAGTAGCCAGAGAAGGAGGTAGAGAGTTCCAGAAAAAAGGCTAGTAAAAGTTGTGACTTCTACATAAATGTGCAAATTTTAAAAATTATTCTATATTTTATAGGTAGCCAGTGCAAGAGAACAAGATATGGAGATATATGAGAAAAGAAAGGGGCATGAGCAACTAGACGAGCAGCAGAGTTAAAGACTTTACTTAAATTAATGGATAGAATATAGAATAAATTAAGCATCAGTGAGGTTTCTGTTGACTACTTCTTTATATTCAAGTACTAAATTCGCATAAATATCGTTAACTGTTTAACGGCACGAATGTTTAAATTCAATGCATTATGTTTATTATATTTGCGAAACGGCAAGCATATATTTAGTTTAAAATTTGTCCTTTCTAATAACACCAACGCTATTTGTTGTTTGAACATTTATTTATTATAGAGTTAAACAATTTTACAATTTTATATTTACATTTTACGAAAATATATACATGTTAATTAAAATAAAGTCACGTTAAAAAATAAAAATCAAAGTTCTCGAGGTTCTGTCGTTATGTCAAGGACAATTTTTGGGATCCATCCCTCATCGTGTGTACTCGTATTGACACCTCGACTGTCGCATCGACGATTACAAAGTGCCTGCAGAGAGGACAGCTCGTCTTCTCTTCCAACCACCGTTTCGCGCAATCATTATGAAAGACGTGCTGGCACGATAATTTCAACACGCATGCCTTTGCAAGGAAGTTTTCTCTGCATATCAGGATTCACTGTGAAGGAATTTGCCCTCGTAGTATGGAAGAATGTATTTTCTGAATGGAGGATAGGTCAGATGATCTGAGAACCTGTCGAAGTACTCTATTGCACCTTTCATAAATGTTCCATGTACGAACATGTAGAAATAAGATGTTTGTCTTCCAGTTCCATCGTATTTGTCATCAGCTTCGTCCAGATAAAAATTTTGAACTCTCAAAGCCAAATCCAAATCTATTTCTTCGCAAAACGTCCGAAGTATTTCTTGTTCCTTATCTTCGGAACATCGCATCAAATCAATTACACGTTTGATGCCCTCTTCATCACCTTCTGATAAGCTGGAACTATTCAGTCTTAAAAATTTCTCGTAGCTTTGCAGTTTAAAATCGTTTTCCTTCTTTTTCCATTTTTCTAAAAAATCGTTAGCTAACGACGACATTAAAGACATGCACGTAGGATTGTTGACTAGATCCATAACAGCTTTGAAGAATATAAGAGAAAAAACAAGTTGACAAAAGAGACAAATTACCAAACTGAATTTTTTTTTCATTTTTTTCTGCTTATATACAAGTTTTCAGAGAATACAGGGCAATGATCAATTCATTACGAACAGATTTTATTACGCAATGTGAATTAAGATAGGTTTTATTATGCAATGGGAATTAAGATTTGTAACGACTTTATTACGCAATGTGGATTAAGATAGGTTGCCGTGAAGACTATAGCATTATTTAATATATTTGCTACAACGGATAGTTTAGTTCGGTTAATAATGATTTTTAAGTAGTTAAAAAATTCGATTTAAATGTAGGGACTTAATAATGGTTGTAATAAATTAGATTAATAATAAAAAATTAAAGTTAATATCGAAGTTATAAATATATACACATAGTTACACATATCGAAGTTTAATTAATTTAAATAATAATTAATTATATATCAATTGATCCTGGGAAAACAGAAACTTCAAACAGAAACTATACATTCGGTACGGAACAAATGCACAGGTGCATGGTAATTAATGGAAGGCTGCTTACCTGTTCAGAAACATTCCAACTCAAGCATGATATAATTATCGTAGGCTAAAAAAAGGACAAACTAGGCTATAGAAGGACAAAAGTTAACAATCGAAATAGAAACGAATACATCACGAGCAAGTATTTTTTTTAACCGAGAAGTTGAGAAATCATTGAAATCGGAGTCGGAACAGTAGTTTATGCGATACAAAGAAGATCTTTTCTCGACAAAAAATAAAATAAGTTTACAACATTTCAAGAGCCACAACGATAAGATTTTCATGATATTTATGTTTGTAATAGTATTTATTAATTAGTACGTATGTTTTTCATTCGGAGTAAAATGAAAACCAGCGAAATGGAAAGTAGCAAGTCTTCCAATTATAGAGTCTGAAGTTAACTGTTGGATAATGATTAAACCAGGTTTGAGGAAATATTAGGAATTGTTGAATTAATACTTAAACTAATAAAAATGGTTGTAACTTCATTTTACGAATTACACACACGTCGAAGTTTAATTATTTTACTATTCTAATTAGTTACATTTATTGATAGCTTAGTGTATGGTATTAGAATGTGTATAATGTGCAAAGGTTGCCATTATATTTATCAGCATGAGAATAACCTAAAGATTATTATCGAATTATGTATGTATGTTAAAACCAAAACATGATGAGTGACACTGAACCGTCAAACATCAAGTAACAAATGGATTAACACTTTGATTTGTCGTTAATTGTATGTATGTGTGTGTGTGTGTGTGTGTGTGTGTGTGTGTGTGTGTGTGTAAGCGTGAGTGTGTGTGTACACGTTTGCGTGGGGTATTCAACAATTATGCCATCTTATATTTTAAACATAATAAACTTCAACGTGTTTCACAATCATTGAGATTTTCATCTTCTTGATCATAGTTTGGACTTTAGAGGTGTGAGCTAATACTGCATCAAACTCATTATTATACCATGATTGTCAGTTTCAGCTGATTGTAATGAGCCCCCTCAAATCTTACGGCACATTCCGAAGTCACCGATGCCCTCCCCATCTTGCCGATACAACTACGGATACTTTGCGTGGTGTTTGTAGAGGTAAGTTAGTTGTACACGGCCGAAGCCGCGCTCTGCACTTTACAAACATTACTGAGTAACCTGAGATAGAAAAATGTTTTTTAGAACTTTTCACGCTAGTAATTTACCTGGAATATTTGGATGTCAGCTTGGATCAGTCACACGGGTCAATTTTTGTTGTATGCTCAGTTTGAGATGAGCAAAATTTTTAAATTAATTGATGAATGAAAAATGAGAAACATTTATTCAGCTAAATCCTGGCAAGGCTACGTTTTAAAATCACAGAATGCAACGTTTTATATATATATATATATATATATATATATATATATATTAAATAATTAAATGTGTAAATATTTATAATTTAAAAGTTTGAAAATGTAAACATGTAGAATCCGAGAATGTAAAATTAATATAGAAGGTTTACAAAAAATTACAAGATGAAAAATTTGGGCCAAAAATAATCCAAAAAATGATAATTATTCAAAATATTTCAAATCCTTTTTAGAGTTTTTCTTTCCATCATGATCTCCTTTTGGGGCTCCGCTATTTTTTTTGTCACCACCACCACCACCACCACCACCATCGTCAGCTTCATCGGCGTAAATCTCATGCTCCAATCTTCCATCGTCATCTTTTTTACCAATCCATCTGTAGTGCGAAAAATTCCAACGTTTCTGATTAGCTGAATTTATGACCTCGACCTTCTCTAGATACCAAGCTCCGCCCAAACCGGCATTATCGTGGCCAATCCTGTTCGAGACAGTTAGGAAACATTTTCAATAATTGAATAAATTAATTATTCATTAGTTAACCATTTGTAACATTTAATTTTCATTATTAATAGGCGTTGGAAAAAAAAATAACTCGAGAACTTTGATGAAATGTTTGACGGTTTGACTACTCGTTAAACTGAAAAATGTTTTTCATGAATACTTAATTTTGTTAGGTCATTATTTTTCTAATTTTTGTAACGAAATTCGGGATAACAGTTGAAAGTAATTTAAAAGTTTAAAAGCTAAAAGTAAGTTAAAAGTAATTTTTTAAACTGGATAATAATAATAATAATCGAATGAAATTATTTCATGTGAGGCGCCTACTTTATTTTCTTCAAGTTTCCAAGATCAGGAAATTCCATGCTAAACTCGTCCATTTGATTTCGTTCGAATTTGTTTTTGTGCGTCTTTGAAGATTTCAACATTATTTTACCTTTAAATAGGAAAAACATTAACACGTAAAAAGATTTTTAATTAATATAAAATAATTAATAAATCATACTGAAAACAACCTAAGAATAACATAATTGTAACTATTTATTACTATTTATTACTTATCATTGCGTTTATAACTACCATGAAAATATTCCTCCTTATTATTATTATTATTATCCTTATCAAAAATTTTTCTATCTTTCTTTTATTTTATGTTATTTTCTTACACTTATCAACTTGGCAACTCTTATTTCCTCTCTCTCTCTCTCTCTCTCTCTCTCTCTCTCTTTCTCTCTCTCTCTCTTTCTCTCTCCCTCTCTCTCTCTCTCTTTCTCTCTCCCTCTCTCTCTCTCTTGCCATCGTTCTTAAC